TGGAAGGGTGGGGGCAAAAATGAGCTTATACCAAGGGCTCAAGTATAAAGAAAATGTTTTGAAAATGATGATGGCAACAAATGTACAAATGTATTTGATACAATGGATGGATGTATGGATTGCGATAAGAGTTGTACAAGCTCCCAATGTCTTTTTTTAAGCATTTATGAAATTTATTATGAAAGCTCTGTCATTACTCCACAATAATCCTGACAGAACTCACAATGGACAGTCTGCTTTCTTTGTTATTAAATAATTATCATATTGCTTTTAACTTACTACAGTAATTTTACTGACTTAAGATTTTTTAAATAGGAAAGAAATTAACATTCTGCATCCCTACTGCCAATTTTTTACACTCTGTCTCACGTAACCTCTCAAAATTTACGAAGCAGTTATAACCTCTGTTTTACAGATACATACTCTAGTTTAGAATCTTTTTTTTAAAAATCATTTTATTAGGGGCTCATACAACTCTTATCACAATCCATACACACATCAATTGTGTAAAGCACATTTGTACATTCATTGCTCTCATCATTCTCAAAACATTTCCTCTCCACTTAAACCCCCGGCATTAGGTCCTCATTTTTCCCCTCCCTCCCTGCTCCCCTCTCCCTTATGAGCCCTTGATAATTTATAAATTATTATTTTGTCAAAAATGCTTTTTTTTTTTTAGAAAAAGAAAAAGATGTAAAAGTCTTGGAAACCCAACAAGTCTGTTTTGCTGTGTCCTATAGGGTTGCAGTGAATCCGAGTTGCCTTGGTGGCAGTTAGCTTGGTTCGGAAAGCCCGTTCAAGCGAGTCCTGGAAGCACAGTGGGTGTCAAGGTGCTTGGCTGCCAACTTCAAAGTTGAAGGTTTGAACACACCAGTCACTCGGCCAGAGAGAGATGTGGCAGTCAGCTTCCCTCAATGTTTGCAGCCTTAGAAACTCTGTGGGGCAGTTCCACTCGGTTCTCCAGCGCCTCTATAAGTCAGAATGACTTGAAAACGGTGGGTTTGCATTTGTTTTTCTGTTTTAAAGCCCAAAGATCCCATATTAAAAACTTTGAACCCATATAAATATCAAGTGAGGGAATCAAGTCTAAAACAACCAACATTTGGTAAGACTAAGGGAATTAGTATAGACTGAGCTATTTAAAAAAATCATTTTATTGGGGGCTTGTACAGCTCTTATCACAATCCATACATCCATCATGTCAAGCACATTTGTACATTTGTTGCCATTATCACTTTCAAAACATTTTCTTTCTACTTGAGCCCTTGATATCAGCTCCTTAAATTTTTCCCTCCCTCCCTCATGAACCCTTAATAATTTATAAGTTTTTATTTTTTTCATGTCTTATACCAATTGGTGGGGGTTATATGTAGATTATAATCTGTTCCCCTTTTCTTCTCCCACCTTCCCCTTCCCCTCCTAGTATGGCTACTCTCATTATTGCTCCTGAGGGGTTTATCTGTCCTGGATTCCCTGTGTTTCCAGCTCTTATCTGTACCCGTGTACATGCTCTGGTCTGGCCGGGTTTGTAAGGTAGAAATGGGGTCATGATACTAGAGGAAAGTTGTATGTTTCTTCAGTGCTATACTGTACCCTGGCTGGCTTTAGACTGAGCTATTTTACATACCATACACACACACACACACACACACACACACACACACACACACACACACACACAGCTAGGAGGTCGACTCTGACTCATGGCAATGCCATAAGCATCAGAGTTGAACTGTGTGCTTCCTCAGGATTTTCAATGGATAATTTTTCAAAAGTAGATTGCCAGGCCCTTCTTCTGAGGCACCTTCAGGTAGTCTCAAATTCTCAACCCTTCAGTTAGTAGCTAAGTGCAATAACCAGATATACCACCTAGGGATAGGAGTATCTGTATCTTGCTTGACATTCTGTACAAGGCTTCCAAAACACCTAAGACACTGGGAGTATAACTAGTACTTTTTACAATATTAAAATGAATTTTCATTTCTTAAGCAGTCACCTACGGTTAGCAGTGCAGAGATCCATTCCGTGAATGGCTAAAGCAGATTCTTAAACTCCTCCCAAATCCACAAAGTCACCGACACACTGAATTTAAGACTTTTGTCTCTACTTAAAACAGGCATGTGTGAACTTCATCCAGAGTGGTAGCAGTCACTGTCCCTAAATCAGTGGTTCTCAACCTTCCTAATGCCGTGACCCTTTAATACAGTTCCTCGTGTTGTAGTGAGCCCCCAACCATAAAATTATTTTCATTGCTACTTTATCACTGTCATTTTGCTACTGTTATGAATCAGGGACCCCTGTGAAAGGGTTGTTGGAACCCCAAAGGGGTCTTGACCAACAGGTTGAGAACCTCTGCTCTAAATGGTTAGAGCAGCTTAAAGAAAAAAAGAAAGAAAGAGCATTTCTATTAAAAACTAGTAAGTTGTTAGAACCACAACAACCAGATCTACGGCCTACTGCACCTCAAGTAGTAGGTAAAGTCTTGTATCTTTATAGAAAACCTGCTGAGTAAAAGTCTCAGCAGAAAATAAGAGAAGAACTGGATCTAAGCCACTACATTTGGTTGGGTTTCACTGCAGACTAAGTTGCCCAGTGAAACAGTAATATACTCACTCACCTTCTATACAGGAATTACCAATAATCAGCACCCTGATTTTGCAGATTTCTGAACCCTTTGTGAGAAATGTATACACCCAGAGAATGAACACTATGAACAAGTATGGGTCAGATCCTCTAAATCTCCACTCCAACTGCTTCCTGTAAGAGTTGCCACCTAGTGATTTTAATTTTTTAAGCCCAGGCGGTCTGCCAATTCAACCCTAAAACCGGACCAACAACTGATTTTTCCTATTGCGACATCGCCAGCAAGTCCTATGCTTTCCCTCTCTTCTTTAGTTCTCAAACAGCAACCCTCATTTTCAAAACCCACTACAGTGTCTTTATGCATATAAGCAAGCACTGTGCAGTTTTTGAAAACTTGCACCCCTCTAGAGCATTACCTTATGAACACAAAACCAAAAAACCAAACTCACTATACATATATTACATGCATAGGTGTGTACAATGTCAAAATCTAGCAATTTGCTCTATATTGCAACCCTCTCAGAAGGTCCCTTAGAGTTGCCAACGCTATTACTCTTCACGGTTCCAAGAGTCCAAAACCGAAAACCAAATTCACTGCCAGTGAGTTGACTCTGACTTTTAGTAAACCTAAAGGGCAGGGCAGGCCTGGCCCAATGGGTTTTCAAGACTGTAAGTAACTTTTTATGGGAGCAGAAACCCTTGTGTTTCTTCACACCAAGAGGCCAACAAGTGGCCAGCTGAAAGAACAAAGACTATGAATATGTAGAGAAGGCAGACCCTGAAAACAAGAATAGTGAAGATAAGAGTAACAATGGGCAGATGCTGGACTTTAAAAATGTTCCAACAGCCAAAGCTCTCCCCATTCTGGAGACCTGGGCAATAATTCTGACAAAATAAATGGCTACAAGTGAGAAATAATAAAACTGCAACAGGTAATATATATTCAGCATTTTGGCTGTCAAACTTGATTAAAGGCCTCTCTCATCACTGTCACTTGAAAAAACGTGAATCTAAGCCTGTAGTTAAATAGGTGGGTGGGACTTGGTGTCTTTTCTAACCAGTGTATCCAGGTCTGGAGCTGACAATAGGTCAGAAAAACCGCGAATTCAAAGAAAAGGGAGACTTAAGGCAGAGTCTGACAGTGTCCAGGTACCTGCTCTTTCATTTGGAGTTACACCTCTAGCTATGCATATTTCCCTAGTGTATTCTTTCACTAGGCAGTTTCATTAAAAACTAGCAAATAATTAGGCAGCTGCCGTGGGTTATACACCTTGAGCTGCTTAACCACTGTGTCAGTGATTCCAACCCACTAACGACTCCATGGGAGAAACATGAGGTGGCTGCCTACTTCTATAAAGATTTGTCTTTGAAACACATGGGCAATTAATTCTACCAGGTCGTACCGAACTGCTGAGTGAAAATCTACTCAATGACTGACAGTTGGTGGGTATAGGTAATAAAGGCATGTTCCTCCCTATTCCCCTGGCCTTTTCTTTATCTTGGCAACTGACACAAAAAATCAATCAACTACCCTTTTCATTGAAGCATCATTTTGTAGAATCCTAAACTTTGCCTAGGCACCATCTACCTCCTTATGAACTACTCCCATTCTTTAAGTCAATTGTGTACAGAAATTAGAGCAGTTTTGTATAATTCCTATCTAAAGGGAGCCAAATGTTTGTCTTAGTATTGTGCGCCTTTCTATATGTTAAAATAAAAATTAAAGAAACATTTCCAGCTACACCAACTTTTACCTTTAACATATCGTCATAATAGTTTTGATGCATGTTACAAAGTAGTGTTCTTTTCAATACCAATGACTGTACATACCTCAAAATTTTAATATAACAGGCTGTAAGAGGTTTTTGTAAATAATTACTAGGGTTGTACTTCAGTTGGATGTTAGTAACCTGGGGATCACCTCTTACTTAAATCTTACAGAAATAAGGCAGCACAGGTAGAGAAGTTGAAAATTCCTTTTGATTGGCAGCTGAACATTTCAGGTGGCAGGATTTCCTTTCCAATATATCTAAGCATTGACAGAACTCTTCCCTCTACTTGCGGTTTCCCATGAGGGTCAGCCTTGAAGAGAAACTTGCTGCCTGACCCTAGTGTTCATGGGGACTACAGGTAGGCTGGTAGGCCATCAGCTGTCCTGCAAGCCTGCTCATTACTGGACCACTGGCCACCCATGCTGCACCTGGACAGCCGCTCCCAGCCCCACCCCCAAAGCGTCCTGGGGGGCACCTCACTATAAGAACTCCCCTTAAGCCAAATTTTCCTACACCCAGTGCCTTGCTTGCGTTTCCTTCTTGGGTAGCACCTTCAGCATGAGGAAAGTAGGTGAGGAGGCCCCTGGTTGGCAAGGAAACTTCCACCAGGATTTGCAGAAACTCCATCAGAGGAACTGGACTCACCTTCCCGACAGAGTCCCATGACTTCACGGTTTTTCCCAAACTCCTTGAAACTTTCGTCCAATTCCGTCCCTAGGAGATACACACACACGAGGAGGGGAGAGGCAGGTCAGTGGCTAGAGTGTGACGCACGCTCACGCACGCACGGGGTAGGTGTGAGCACCTCATCATTCCCCAACCAGGGATACCATCTCTGACCCTGGGGGGAGCGGACTGGGAAGGACTCTGGAAAGGGGAGGGATGGAAAAGAAGGGAGGTAGGAAGGGTGGGCAGCGTGGGGGGCGGGGTGGAGGCAGGAGGGTGTGGACACTCACCGTCCTTCCCAGGAAGTTTGGAAGCTTCAACCCACAGATTCCACGACTGTCCCAGCAGCGTCTCAGGACTGGGCAGGGGCCTGCATTCCCCGACGGTCGCCATTGCGGCAGCCGCAGCGGAGGTGGAAGAGG